AAAAAAAAAAAAAAAAAAAAAAAAAAAAAGAATTATATAGGCCTCAATAAATTCATATTTATGTTAGTAAAATTACTATTATTAAAGCCAACAGAAACTAACAAATAAGAATCGTAGCCTCTTAATGCCTTTAATTCTGTTTCACTTTCAGTTCCGCTAACATCACAAGTAGTCAACTTCAGATGGCAGTTTAGTCTTGCCAGCTCCCAAACATCCATACAAGCTCTTTTAAAAACACTGTTTCCTTGAACAACCATCTTAAGTGGAGTCTGCTTAACCTCCAATACTCCACGTGTTAACCAGGATGTAGATGATCATTTTGCTAGTTTTCTGTTGTTGTCAGGCTATTTTAATTTCACTTCCAAACAAACCTTATTACTCTCCTTATTATTCAGGCCTGTCATTCAGCTATAACACACCCAAAAATCATTATCTATTGCATTATTTTTAATGTTTTAATTAGTATATCTTTGTAATACATAATGAATATACTCTGTGGGAGATAGATAGATAGATAGATCTTGCATCTTAATCTTTCCCTTCCATTATCTATTATATATATTCTAATCACTCCTCCACACTCTCTAAGTATTAAGGTATCTTAATCATAATTCTTCCATAACCTAAGTCCCATTACCATCCAACAACAATAAAGAAGATCCTAGAGTCTTAGAGCACTTTAAACTTTAAACTCCAAAAATCCTTCATTTCCTTTCCAAAGCCATCTGTACCAATGGCTATGCTTAATCCACATCATTTCTTAGAATTTCCTGACCTACCTCTAAAATCTACAGGATCAAATACTGTTCATAATTCCTTAAATCCTTATGTGCATATACAGAAGCACAAAACTCTAACCACACAGCCTATTCTTCAAGTTCTAAAAAAAAAAAAGAAAGAAAGAAAAATGCTGAGGCTTTATCAGTAATGGAGGGAATTTCCTGAAAGCCAAATTGCCACATGCCATCCAAACCTGCAAGCATCTTTTTACAAATATAGTGGCTTCAGTTATGCCAGGTTATCTCTTCATTATTCAGATGGCCCTTTCTAACTGTTCCTCATCATTACAGGCCTTTACTGTACTAGTCAGCAATGCCAACTCCCTAGTCTTTGCGACTATCTTCCAGATCAGGTCCGTACCCTGTATCTGCTTTCTTTGGCTTAATAACTCAATGACTCAGTTTCAATTTTTTCCTTTTATTCCTTATAAAAGTACCTATTCTGAACACCAGTCTTTCTGAGTTCTCCCCTTTCAAAATAACAACTACTTAATAATCACACATCATATTCCTAATACTACATTAGGTGCTGTACACATGTTGCTGTATTTGGTCCCGATAACTCCATGAAAATTTGAAATGATGTTATTATCTTCTTTATATTAAAGAGGAAGAAACCAGAATGGCCTAAGGAGGTCACTAAGATTTTTAACTGGAAGAATTACAAACCCATACCTGCCTCCCACATATCCCACACTGCTTTCTCTTTCTGGGCATTGTTTCCAACAGCAAAGTTAATATAATTAGTAATATAATATGTATGCTGATGGTAGTTACATTACTTGATCTAAATAACATATTTAGATTTTAACAGAAAGTTATTAAACATTTTCTTAACCTAAAAGTAATCAATAATGTCACATTCCAGAGCAGGCTGGGTATTGAAAATCTGAACAGTATTTGTTACTTCTTTGAGCTCAGAAATAACTCTGGATTTGTCTCCCTGGGAATGCTTATTGAACAGAAAGTCATCCAAACATTTACTCAGATAAGGTAATGCTACATTTTAAATATATATATTTGCCAAATAAAATATAAAGTCAAACTGCAAGTACTATCTTCTCTGATTTTAGTATTCTAACTTTTACATAAAGTTAGAAGTCAATGCTATAAAAATTGCTCTACCAAAATTCACATAACAAATATGTTGTTTAACAAAAACTAAAGAAAGATGATGAGGAATATCTATCAATGGGGCAGCAGATGTATGAGAGATTCTATAATAATAGACATCAATGCATTAAACAGAGTCCTAAATCTGAAGTTTAAAATTATATACAGAATATTCCTATCTGATATATTTTAAAGCCAGTACCTAATTTTCTATAAAGCCCAGAAAACAAAAACAAAATTAAAAATAATTTAATAGACTCCTTTTTCTATAAAAAGCTTTTCTTTGCATTGTAGAAGCTGCCAATTTTTAATCAAAATCAACTTTTGCCTGCCTGTCAATGCCAATAAGTTCACCTAGTAGGATCAGAAATGCTAAGAAAAAAAAATGAAACAAAAAGTTCACTCAGTAGAAGTAAATTTAACAGTCACAAATAATGCAGTACTTACCTCCTAACCTGGAGGTATTGCACATATTCTTCACAGCTTTTGCAAATTCTTCAAATTGTACTTTGTCACCTCCTGTGAGAAAAACATTTTTAACAGATCAGATTTACTAAGTAAAGCCTGGATACAATGAAACAGTTCATATACATGTAGACCATTTGATGTACTCATAAGAATATTTCTTCTTCACATATGTGAGTAAACAAAAGGTGAATGTAATAAATGAATACATTTTTAAAATGTAGAAGTTGAGTTCTCAATTTCTGTCAATCAAGAGAAACTCTATAATCCATATTCCTAAAATATAAAACTAAGATAAACTCCTAGACAAAACTAAGAAATAGACATCAGACTCAGTGTAAATTTTCAACTATTAAACAATAAAATATCTATGCCAGATAAGTCTGAAGGTAGCTGTCAGTGCCCAGTAGCTCTATGACTATGTCTGATAAATAATTACTAACAATTTTTACACAAGAATGCAAAAATGTGAGATTACAAAGTGACAAGCACAAGAGATAGAAGTGGATATGTTTTCCGACTCCAGAACAAGGAAGTTTTGTCCAAAGAGGTAGTTATTGTAGCTTCAGATCACACTCTATCTGAAATTGTCCCACGCAGTGTAATTTAAAAAATCTGAATAGGTCTTTTAACATTTCTTAATCATTCCTTCTGTGCTCAGTATGATATATTGTTTTCCAGTAACGTGCTACACAAAATGGAGGTATTCCATGCATATTTAGAGTAATAATAATTATATATTAACATTTTTCTATAGAACAGCCAAACAATCTGAACTTTACATTTCCTAAATGCATATATTAGTATTTCAATCATGTTAGAACACTAATAGTCCACTAGCCCACTAAGACCTAACAATATAAAATTTCTAGGAGAAAACATATGGGAAAGGCATTTAGTCTATGCAGAGATGTCTTGACTATAACCCCCAAAATACAATCAACCAAAGCAAAAGTAAGCAAATGAGATTGCACAAACTAAAAAGCTACTTCAGAGCAAAGACATTATACAGTAAGGAAATAACCCATGAACTAGGAGAAATAATTGTACATCATAAATCAATAACAGGCTAGTACCTAAAATATACAAAGAGTTCAAAGAACTTAATAGCAAGAAAAAAATTTTAATGGGAAAATAATTTGAACAGACATGTCTCAAAACAAGACATACAAATGGACAACAGATATATGAAAAAATATTCAATATCTTTAACCATCTGATGAATGCAAATTAAAACCACAAATAAAACCACCCTCAGCTTGTTAAATTGGCTATTATAAAAAAAAAGATAAAGTTATCCTTATACATCTCTTACTTTTCATATTTAGAATACCCACCACCAGTTGTTGCTAATTTCACAGCAGCTAGGAACTCATCTTTTTTAAAATTATTATTCAAACCAGACAAAGTGTTCCACAGATCAGAAACACTTATCTCATCCTTGATGAGACTGTGGAGGGTTTCAATAGTATCAGGCAGTACTAAAGGGTAAATAAAACCACAAGTTTTATAACATGCTTATACAAGAAGTTAATAAAGGAAACTTTTATTGAGAAGAGTGAAAAATTAAGGAATTTGTGATTTAAAAGAATACAATATAAATGCACAGCTAATTTTCAAGTATCAAAACAATATTTTAGTGTGACAGAATTCTGAAATATTCAAGAACTCATAGTAACCTCATAATTATTATTAAGAATGATTTTTCTTGAACTTCATACTTAAACAAGTTTTGATTAACAAACATTTCCAATTGATGAAAAATGACTCAAATAGCTTTTGTTCTATATTGTTATCAAAAAATTTTCCCTGGTTCCTTCTTTCTTTTTAATCTATCAATAGAGATAATGGAAAGATGTTTGTTTTTATTAGAAGTGCAATAGAAAATTCTTGGAATATTTTAAACAGAATAGAAAAATCTTATTAAAAAATTATAAAATGATCACTCTGCTGCTTTATAGAAGATAGATTCTCTGGGAGATGTCAGGAAGATAAGTAATAGTTCAGAGGGGAAAAAAACAGTGGCTTTGACAAGGACAAAAATGATAAAGAGACTGAGATGTGGACAAATTAAGGAAGTATTTTAAGAATGAAAATGAGAGCACTTAATGATGAATTACTCATCCATAAAGAACAAGAACGTAGAAACATTTATAGCTAAGTGGATGCACATTGAGGCTATATGCAAGTGAAATTAATAGGACACACATGTGTAAATACTGTATAGTTTCTCTATGAAAAACTAAAAGTGTAAATAAGGTTCAAATTATATAATTGATATTGTGTAATAGGAAGAAAAGGTATAAAAGAGTAGAGAAAGTGGGAGGGGTAGCGGAAAGGTAAAAAAGGAAAAGAAAAAATATGAGAAATGGAAAAACATGGAAACAATGTCTCTGTAAACAGGGAAGGGTGGAGGGGGTGAAAGGAGGGCTGGGGATTGGGGAAAAATAAGCACCAAGATAAGTCATGTAAAGTTAAAAGATCCCAGTGATGAATGTAACTGCACTGTATACCAAAAAGGTACCAATAAACTTAATAATAAAAATAAGATGAATTTAATGGAAGGAAAGCTGAGGAGGCTGAGCCATAAATTTCTAGGTTTGACTCCTGATCAGTTCCTTCAGACTGGGGGAAAACAAGGTTTTTGGAGAACACATTAATTTTAACATAAATTAGAAGTCAAAAGGTTATAGGTACTATTTAAGGCAGTAAAAGTACTCTGGAAGACACTTAAAGAATGGAAGTGAGAACAAAGGCTAATACTTAAAGTTAGCCATAAAAAGCAGCAGCCAGTAAACAAGAACACAAAGGAAGAGCTTATAATGTGGGATGAAAATTAGGATATTATAGTGTTACAGAAAACAAGAGAGATTTTAAAGAAGAAACATGTATTAACAGTTGGTAGGCATGGGATTTGGTTCAATGGTTCCGCCACCTGCCTCATAAGTGCAAGGGCCCGAGTTTGATCCCTGGTACTGGAAAAAAAAAAAAAAAAAAAAAAAAAAAAAAGAGGAAAACAGTTGATAGAGCTGGGCATGATTGTGTATGACTCTAATCCCAGTTCTACTTAAGAGGCTAAAATAGGAGAATATCAAGTTTGAGGCCAGCCTGGGTCATGTAGGAAAACCCTGTCTTAAAGTAAAAATAAAGAGAGCTAAGGATGTAGCTCATTGATAGATCACTTGCTGCTCAGCATGTATAAGGTGCTGCCCTGAAAAAAAAACTGTCCAAGAACTGATAATATAGTAGATTAAGAACAGCCAGATTTGTTTTCACCTCCACCACAAAACATAGTTTATATCAAATTTTAAAATACTAATAAAAATATTTGGTGAAGGCCCAGAGTCCCAGCACTTAAGAGGGACTGCTTGAGTTCAGGGGTTCAACACCAGTTTTGGCAACACAGTGAGACCTTTCTCAAACAAACAAAAAACTTGGTAATGGGTTAGATGAGGGGAGTAGAAGCGGTGAAGCTAGAAAAGAGGAGAAACAAGATTAAGAATGACTACAAGGTATCTGTCCAGGCAAGGATGCTAAGGTCAAAAGAAAGGAAAACTATCAAATGTCAACAATGAGGTCAAATAACAATAGTGTAAATACTTGAGCTGATCCCACGAGGTAAGACAAGTTCTACCTGAGTTCTAATCTTAACACTACCATATACCTCTTGTGTAACAATAGGTAGGCTTTTTTACCCCCGAACTTCTGTGCTTTGGTTTTCTCCTCTACAAACATAATAAAAGAAATGATATGAGCATTCATGGAATGAATGAATTTAGAATAGCACTGATTATAAGCATTGAATAAGTATAATAATAGTAATTATTTTTCTCTGGTACAAACAATCTAGAGTTGTAATTGAGATGTCTACATAAAGGCAAAACTCTAGAAAGTCTTTCCATCTGAAGGGGAAAAAAAAAAAAAACAACCTGAAAACACCTTGGCCAGCTCCTTTTTAAAAACTGAGAGAAAGGCTTGAACTCTGCTTCAGGAAAAAAAAAAATCCAGTGGTAATCTAAAATCTAAGACCACTGTCTGTGAATGTCATATTTCAAATAAATTCACATAAACTCCAAACTAGGAGCCAGCATAAAAGTGGCACAGTTGATTATAAAATCAGATCTCGTTCACTGATATATATTTTTTAATTCCAGGTAAATTACAGATTTACATATAAAAAACTTCAAAACTTTAGCAAAAAATACTTGCAAATATCTCTTATTCCTCTCAGTACTGGGGACTGAACCCAGGACCTTGCGTTTACTAGGCAAGCACTCAACTACTGAGCTACATCCCCATCCCCAGCCATCATTATTATTGTTGTTGCTATTTTATTTATGGTTGTTGTTATTTTCTTTTGAACAGTATCCCCCTAAATTGCCAAAGATTGGTCTCAAATTTTTTTTTTTTTTTTTTTTTTTTTTTTTTTTTTTTTTGGTACCAGGGATCAAACTTGGGACCTTATGTTTGCAAGGCAGGTGGTGGAACCACTGAGCTAAAATCCCCAGCCCTCAAATTTACCTTAATCCTTGCCTCAGCCTCCCAAATAACTGCGATTACAAATGTGGGCCATTACAACCAGAGGAAAATATCTCACTAGTCTCACAATAAAAATAGGCTTCTATCTTTAATATAAATGGAATGTTATCTGCCAAATATTAAAGATGTAGGAATTGGGGCAGCATTGGAAATTTGAGATAATGAGTTTAATTGGTTACTTCAGAGAACAGGAGATTGACTTAACTGTAAAAGCAAGTGAATAATTCCTATGTAGTGATGAGGGCTAGAAGACACTGATGACCAAGATTTTACAGTGTAGTCCATACAATCTGCTCAGCTGTGTGATTTTCTTCAGAAATGCTGTTAGCCATGAGAAAAATGGTAAATGGGTTCATTCAGGAATGGAAGTTTTGTTGCGTATGTGCAACAAAAGTAGAGGCAGGATAGTTGAAGGTATGAGGTAAATACATATTATAGAACTTAAACTGGATATGAGGAAAAGTGACAACAGGAGAAGACTGATATATATATATATATATTTGTATTTATACAAA